CACACACACACACACACACACACACACACACACACACACACACACACACACACACACAGACGCGCACAAGCACACACTCGCACACGCACAGACAATGTCCACCACACATAGACGGCATGACTGTCTGACTTCATGCCTGACTACTCACTCGACAAGTATACGCTAGGCGAGTGGACATCAATGGCACTGAAAGCACACAAATGAAAGGGCAAATGCTCTGGGCGTGGCACTGCAAAAACGATAGGATGTACATGGTCGCCAAGGCTGTGACTGTGTCAGACGTCGGAACATCTCTCTACTCCTCCTCCCCTCCACTACAATTCTCTGAATCATCCCCCCTCGTCTCACTACGCCTCTCTCTTGCATAATCACTACCGGAAGAATCGTCACCGCTCTCTGGATCATCGTCAAGGACACGAGTCTCTCTCCGGCCCCCACCTGAACCCAACGACTGCACCCTCGTACGTACACCTATTGCGGGTGAACCCCCTGTTGCGGTCCCATCCACTGCATCTCCCTCATTTGTGTCCTTTGCACCCAACTGCCTCATCGCCCAAGAGTCTCGTCTTGAGGCATGTGGGCGACCTCTCCCTCGGCCTGGGCCTGGTGGCCGTCCTCGACCTCTCCTTGTGCCACGCCCCACTTGACCTGCACGTGTACGTTCGTGTCCGTCATCCTCCTCCCTCCTCCTCTTCCTACCTGCATGACTCGTCGTGACGTTATCAACAATAGCGGAGGAGAGTCGTGTCGGGAGTGGAGGCATGCCCAATAGACTCCGCGCAGACATAATATCCCTGGCCGTCGTAGAGGTGGAAGGGCCAGACACATGAAGAGGAAGGCGTGGTAGAGCAGATGTAAGTGGAGGCGGGGTGCTACCCCTAGATGATGACGAAGGGGTAGTATGTGCAGAACTCAGTGGAGGACCATGTCTGGCAGGGTGTCCGCCACTTTCGCCGAGTGTCGTAGACCTCCCCGAGTGAATTTCTGGTGTCGTCGCTGTCGATGGTGGCGGTGTCGTCCGCAATGGTAGTGGCGGGATCCCGTAGAAAGTGCGCCGTGTGAGAACATTATGTGAAGATGGAGACGTGTCTCGTGGAAGCAAAGGTGGAATGCCCGTATCAGCAAGTTGTGCGTTGTCGCCTCCGTCTCCACGAATCCCATCCAAACCAGGTCGATCTCTAGCAGCACCGTCCGTGTGCAACCTCTGCTCTGTACGCCCGCATGTCACAGCATCGCGGATGACGCTCTCGTCAGAATGGCAATCACCCGGCCGCCCACGAGTACTCTCCTCCATCCTTCCAACCCCGGCCTGATCCAAGGTCACGTCAACTGTAACCTCTACCACGTCCCTCATCCTCTGATCCACCCGCTGCTCCACCCTCTCATCAACCCTCCGCTTCACCCTTTGCTCCGCTCTTTGTTCAACGCTTGGTTCCACCCTGCACTCCGATTTCTCGTCTGCTGTACTGTGCACCGTCCGCTCCGCCGTCTGCTCCACCCGCTGCTGAAGTGTCGGTCGATGTTGCAGCTCCAGGGACTCGTGTTGTAAGGTCGACGGTGCTCTGGGGTCCACCCTCTCCTGCACACGCTACTCACATGACTGCACCACTGTACGTGGAGTTGTTTCGACATGTCGACGGAGTGTGCCATGCAGCCCAATTGACTGAGAGACGATCTGAGAGGCGTGCTCTGCCTCTGCAACCTGGTGTGCCACCTGCTCCACAACAACCTGTTGTGGCAACTGCTCTGCCCTATGCTCGCCCCTCTCATGTCGTGGAACCTCAGGATGCTGACCCGCCCTCCCCTCCCTCTCCGCCTACGTCTGTGTATCCACCGCGTGGTCCACGGGGGCCTGGGATGTGTGTGTCTCTGTGGCGATAGAAGAGGGGTCACCAACACTGGTATCTGCTGCTGTGGGACTCATCGAAACTGGAACCTCCTCCGTCTGTGGCGGATCCTGCATCGCCTCGTCCTCCTCTGCTTGCATATCACGGGCCAGCAACTCCTCCATATCAACCTCACCGCCCACCCCCTTGCGCATGGACACCACAGGCTGCATGGTGCCACCAACGTATGCGTCGAAGTCGTCGTGCGGATCCTGTCCACCCCACTCGTCCAGCAAGTCGTGCTGGTCCTCTGGAAGAGTCATCCCAACACCCCTCTGTGCCTCTGCCTCCTTCCTAATCCCCTGGTGCATCCACACGAGATCATCAAAAATGTCCTCCTCCGAGTCCATTGTTGGTGCCTTGCCCTTCCCAGCTTGATTGCGACCCTCCTTCCTCCTATTGCTCCTCTCAATCGCCTCGTACTCCTCCTCCGGCACATCTGCAGGGATGACGTCATCCACGTCCAGAACGACCTCCTCATCCTCAACCTGGTCCGCCCAAATGTCCACGTACCTGCTCTGCGACCGCTTGCTTGCACTGAGGAGCTACAAGTTCCAATGGATAAACACGAGTTTCTCAACGCTACGCGCCGTCAAGCGGTTTCTCAATTTCGTGTGAACGAAGTCGTGTGTGGCCCAGTTCCTCTCACAAGGACTAGCGGTGGACCACATGCCCATCACATCCCGCACAATGCCCTACAAAACGGGTTGCTGACCACCGTGAAGCCCCCACCACGTCGACGGATGCATCTTGTTCGCGTCGGCGGTAGTGAACGAGTCCCACCAGTGTTGACCATCCTCTGGCCAATATCGCGGGTCGTCGCTGTGGAAAGTCCACAGGGCCTCCCACAGACCAGGCATGGCATCACTGTCCCACCCTCCGACAACGCGAGTGAAGTGCTCAAGCGCACACTGCATGACAGACCTGTTGCGGTCCTCAAGCAATGAAATATCGCGCCGTCGTGAATCCAGTAGGTAAGCAGCTGCATGAGCAAGTTGTCGCATCATCGCGCACCTATCCCTCACGATGTCCATCACCTCGTCCCTGTCAATGTCCGACAACTCGAGTGAACGAATTCGCCCCCGTAGGATGGCCTCCAAATCCCACAGGCCAGTGGATGATGAACCGTCCCTATCAACATCCTTGAGGAACCTGTAAACGGGACCCATGACAACCATGACCCTCTTCACGCCACTCCAAAACCCATCATCACTGCAAAGCCTCAAGACATGAGGCATCCGCTCTCGAGCATCCCCGGCCCATCACATCGTAGCCCACCTCTCTGACGACACTAACGTGTCCAAGACCTCCCTCTAGTCGTACAGCCTCCCCAGCATCATGTATGTTGTATCGAAACGCGTCTCCGCTGGTCGCCTGAGTACCAACTCCTTCTTCATTCTCTTGTGAAGTGCAAGCGCTTTTTATTTGTTGCGCATGAACTTCACGATCTTGTGCACGTCTCTCATCGTCTGTCGCACAAAAGACTGTGCGACAATGTCCCTCAGCAGCAAACTCAGGCAATGTGCTGCACACGGGATCCAGGGAACGACACGCATAGCAGGATCTGGGTGTGTCTGCAACGTGTGCGCCGCGGTTTTCATGACCTCGGCGTTGTCCGTGCAAATCGCATTGACATTCTTGATGCCAGTGTCATGTCGTATAACGTCCTCCCAGATCTCCGCTAAGCTGATGACGGTCTTGTCGCGATGAGACATGTCGATCGTTCAGATGAAGATGGGTCCGGACTCCCTTGCCGCTATGACGTTCATAATGGGCTTGTTTGTCGTGTCAGTAGCCCCGTCCGTCATCAACGTGCAGCCGGAAGTAGCCCACTTTGCCTTCTTAGGGGCAATGAGGGCTGCGACCTCATGGTAGATGATATCTAACATCCTCGTCCTCACCCCCTCATACGAGAGGAGTCGTGGAACAGGTACTATCGTGGGACGGAATAGAGTGCATATGTAATCCCACAACCGCTGCATCTCAGCTAAACGCAGCCAGTTGAACGTCACTCCGCCACGATAGATAGCGAGGGCCCACAACTGATCAAGATCCATTTGGATCTTGTTCCCTATATGGGGATCCAAAGTCGACTGTCGCCTCACCACTAGGGATGTGGAGGCCGGTGCTCCACTAGCACTAGATCCGCCTGCCTCACTACTGCCACCCACACCTCCTACACCTCGTCCTACACGGCGTATGGTCTCCTCAAAACCCGCAGGCTGAGTATCGCCTCGTGCCTTGCCTCCACGCTGGCGATCTGCATCCAAATCGTCGGCTAGTCTGATCGTCACCCCACCTGCATCTCCACCATCCACCCCTCCAGCACGCGAGGGTGTCCCGGGCGGCGTATGGTCTGCCTTTCCATCCCCCTCCGCCTCCATCTGATGACGGAGGTCATCCGCAACCATATCACCCTCCACCCTCTCCGCATACTCCGAAGCCAGGCGCCGCGAGAGGGCATCTCTAAGGACTACCCCCACCCTTTGCAACTTGTACAAAATCTCTCCGGCCCGGCGTAGGCCATACGTCTTTTGCTTTGTGAAATGCTCAACTCCACGGGACCTGGATTCCGTGAAAACCTCCTGGCACAGGCGGCAACGGATAAGGAAGTTGCCCCCCCCTTCCTTCCCCCACTCCTGACCCCTCTCAACCCACTCCTACACTATATGACCGCGCCTCAAATCGACCTGCTTGTGCTGCGGTGCAGGCTGAAATGGTGGCAGCGGGTCCCCTCTACGCCGTGTACTGGCAGATGCCATAGCTCCAGAAAGGTGATGGTGGTGCAGTAAAACCACGACTACTGTCTGCAGCTGTGCACTACTGGTGACGCACGCCTGTTGAGCTTGTACTCTGCAGAGCGTCGACTGGTCCGCGTCAGCTGCATGGAAAGAAAAGAAGGAAGGGAAAACAATTACAAATGACATCCTACACAGATGAAATGTTTGTTGATTGAACTTTATTGATTGATTGATTGATTGATTCATTCATTCATTCATTCATTTTTTGACTGATTGATTGATTGATTGATCTTCTCCTCCGTCATGTTCTCCACCACGTATTCCATCTCCTCATATTCCATTTCCTCCTCCATCTCCCACTCCATCCCTCCTCCATCTCGTCCTCCATCTCCTACTCCATCTCCTCCTCCGTCTCCTCCTCAATCTCCTTGTACTCAATCTCCTACTCCATCTCCTCCTCCATCTCCTCCTCAATCTCCTCATACTCCATCTCCTCCTCCATCTCCTCCTTCATCTCGTCCTCAATCTCCCCGTACTCAATCTCCTACTTCATTTCCTCCTCAATCTCCTCCTACTCCATCTCCTCATCCATCTCCCACTCCATCTACTCCTCCATCTCTTCCTCCATCTCCTCCTCCATCTCGTATTTCATCTCGTACTCCATCTCGTACTCCATCTTCTCCTCCATCTCCTACTCCATCTCCTCCTCCCCGTGCCCTGCCTCCATTTGCTACTCCATCTCCTCCTCCTCCATATCCTACTCCATCTCCTACTCCATCTCCTACTCCATCTCCTACTTCATCTCCTACGCCATCTCCTACTCCATCTCCTACTCCACCTCCTACTCCATCTCCTCCTCCATCTCCTCCCACTCCATCTCCTACTCCACCTCCTACTCCATCCCCTCCTATCACAAACGTCGTTTTCGCATGCCTCTCGCCCGCCCCCAAGCCACATTTAATCAATCAATCAATCAATCAATCAATCAATCAATCAACCAATCAATCCTTCGATCTGTATGGATCTTTTCCTTCAAGATCCGTCGATATCGACGGATATCGACGGATCTTGAACGTAATGATACGTCGACATTGACAGATTGATCGTTTGATTGATTGATTGATTGATTGATTGATCTTTTTTTTTTTTTTTTTTTTTTTTTTTTTTTTTTTT